CCGGTCCGTCTGCATTCTGACCTGTGGATCCAGATTCAGATCAGGACCAAGGAGGAACTGGTTTGGACCCGAGACCCAGAGACCCGGTCTCAGCAGAACCAGCGCCAGACGGAGGGAAGCTTAAGGTTTGGTCCTCTTTAACGTGAATCCAGCTGATTCTTAACATTCTTCATCTTATAAAAATGTAAAATGTTTTTTGTTTTGTTTGACGTTTTTTCTGTCGTTTTGCTGAATCATCATTTTTGGCTGTTTTGGTCGTTTGGTTGACAGGAACCAAACGGAGCGTTTTATCCTGCAGCGCCTGAACTGAGGCGCCTGGAGAGCCATCCTCATTTATCATAACTCCAGTTACTTTACTGTAAATAAACATGTTTTCTGCATCTCAGAGATTATAGGTTATTTTCTACTGTTTTATTTCTCCTGTTCTTTCTACACAAAACATCGAAGCTTAATCAAAACAAGGAATATTAAAAAAGGTAAAATAATGCAGATCTGGGAGTAACTGCTGAGATTATAGAAGAAAATCCTAATCCATACATGTTAAACGGTTTCATTTGTTTATTGACACCATTTGGTTTTGTTCTGTTTGTCCTAAATGATGTTTATTATTATTATTATATTTGATCTAATTGACTTATTTTATAGATGATCATCTGTTGCCAGTCTGTAATTAGTGAATGAGCTAAAAGTAGAAAAGCAGGTATAATCCAGCAGGAGTTATCTGATGTCATAATTAGTAACATTTCTGCTCTGGCAGCTGGTCCAAACTGGATCAGAACCAAAACAAATGGGTCAGAGCCAAACACAAAGTTTTGAGGTGATGATGAAAAGCTGGATTAAATTATAATCTGATCCATTAATGAGCATTAATCTGACATCAGATTCAGATCAGAACCAGTACCGGTTCTGGTCTCGGCTCGGTTCTTGTTCTAACAGAACCGGCCGGTTCTCATGCTCAGGCTTCTGCAGGAATGTGATAGAGAGCGGTCTTTGCCCCACACACACACACACACACACACACACACACACACACACACACACAGCTAAAGATAGATGCCGCGCTGCAACACCCAGATTGCTGCAGCGAGTCTCTACTCAGTCCCAGTCTACTGGTCCCAGTCTACTGGTCCCAGTCTGCTGCTCCCAGTCTGCTGCTCCCAGTCTGCTGCTCCCAGTCCCAGCTCTGTGTCTCTGCTTACGGGACACCGTGTTGCCTTCGTGTGCAGCAGGAAACCACAGCGTTGAGTTCAGCTGATCTGCTGGCGATCCCAGAGAACGTCTGGACGTTTAGCAGTGGAGACAATCAAACTGAAACTGGTTTCAACAAACTGGTTTCAACCAGCACCTGTTCATTCAGGCTGCAGGAGAGCGAGAGAGAGCAGGACGTTCCAGCAGAGAACAGGAAGGCTGGACAAGCCTCTGCTTGATGTTCTAATGACAGCAGCTGGAAGTCCAGCGCTAAGCTAAAGCTCCAGGTCAGCGGTGTCCAACATGCGGCTCGGGGCCCATTTGTGGCCCTCTGAAGGATTTTGTGTGGTACAAATTTTTTTTTATTTCTTCATTTATCTACAAAAACAAAATGTACAGACTTTTACTCAAAAGCAAATTTTACAGCCCAAATAAGAAAACAACAAACCCAAAGAGTCCTAAAAATAAAACTATTTATGTTTTGTGTTTACAGTTTGTGTTACTAATTTATTATTTCAATAAATTAGGATAAACGTTTCAGTGAGTCTGGTTTGTCTAGAATCAGACGCCAGTTTAAGGTGTGAACTCTGGGTTTGAATCTGATTGGTGAATCTCTGGCTGCAGGAACGTCAGCAGGTCTGAAGTGAGCCAACATTCCCAGTCGTTCCCTGACATTCCCAGTCGTTCCTTGACATTCCCAGTCGTTCTCTGATGTTCCCCGTCGTTCCCTGATGTTCCCCGTCGTTCCCTGACGTTCCCAGTTGTTCCCAGACATTACCCAGTCGTTCCCTGACATTCCCAGTCGTTCCCTGACGTTCCCAGTCGTTCTCTGATGTTCCCCGTCGTTCCCTGACGTTCCCAGTCGTTCCCTGACAGAGCGAACCTTTTCCCACTAATGGAAGCCGAATGCTAACCTGTAGCGATCCAGACGCTACATGCCTCCACTGATCAGCGGCCCGTTTTGAAACCAGATCAGACGGCCGTTGTGGGAACATCCCCCTCAGAGTGTGAAGGACTTCCATGAACATGTGCAAAACGCTCCAGGATTTATTCTTCACTTTACAGACAAACATAAAAACATGGCGGATAACGACAGGAGCCGCTTAGCCTGTTCGGTTTGACACGTCTGATGTGGAATATCCATTGTTACAGCAGCAATTTGTTAATCGGGTACTGATTTATAAATGAGCTGGAAGCTAAGGGTCAAAACTGCAGCCATGTTTCCACGTCAAGCTACAATAACAGCGCCGTCTAGAGGCCTGGCATGGAAACTGCAGCAGAATCCAGGCGAAAACTTGAAACTTTTTCTAATAAACATCAGAAAATAACCACAGCGAGTTAAAGAAGATATGATTCTGGTCTGTTCTACCGGCTGGGACTCTGAAGATGAGACCAGTTCACTGTACTGGTTCCCAGTTCTGACTGGTTCCCAGTTTTGATTGGTTCCCAGTTCTGATTGGTTCCCAGTTCTGACTGGTTCCCAGTTCTGATTGGTTCCCAGTTTTGACTGGTTCCCACTTCTGATTGGTTCCCAGTTTTGACTGGTTCCCAGTTCCTACTGGTCCTCCCACTCAGTCAGGTCTGGTCAGAGGCATTGAGCTGTTGCCTGATAACACTGGAACAGAATCCAAACAACATGCAGCTATAAATACACACACACACACACACACACACACACACACACACACACACACACACACACACTCGGACAGCTGAGATGCCAGCTGAGATCTGCCGGCTAACTTTAGAGACGCTCCGAGTCTCAGAGTCCGGACCTGGAGGGAATCGGAGCCTCACCTGCTGCTCAGGTGAACAGCAGACGGTACCGGCTGTGATCGGACCAGCAACCAGAACCGGATCAGGATTCAGGATTAAATCTGTTGAATCTGCTCTGATCCAGAGTGATCTGGAGTGATCCACCTGATCCTGCAGGTGATGAAACCCCACCTGAGTGGAAACGTCCCAGTGGGAGACCAGGGTGGGGCAGAAAGCAGGGTGGGGCAGAAAGCAGGGCAGTTCTCACATTCTGAGTTTCTTTCTCATGATGATGGAACAGAGAAAGAGGAGACACTGCGGTTTGGCCGAGGGTTTCCAGATTCACCTGGCTCTCTGCAGCAAGAGAACCTCACAGAACCAGAGAGAACCTCAGAGAACCAGAGAACCTCAGAGAACCAGAGAGAACCTCAGAGAACCAGAGAGAACCATAGAGAAATGGTGAAACCTCACAGAACCTCACAGAACCTCAGAGAACCAGAGAGAAACGGTGAAGCGGTGAGACCTCAGTAAACCTCAGGAATGTGAGGCGGGACGCAGCAGATGGATCAGAAGCTCATTCTGCGGTTGTTGCTAAGTGGAAGCAGCTGACTGCAGAGCTCACACCAAAAAACTCATCTGAACAGAAATCTGCAGATTGGATGTGAAGTGAATGATTCTGCAGGAAGATGACATCACTGATGACATCACAGCGCAGCGTTACTGTCAGAAGGAAACAAGCTGTTCTTTATCAGTCTGGATGTGATTCCATCAACATTCCAGCTGCTGGAGCTCTGAGTTCATCACAGATTATTCTGTTATTTTTCATGATTTCAGAACAGGAACCGGGTCAGCGCTCTGGGTTCTGACCGGGTTCTGATCGCTGGATGAACTGGATTACAGTTTTACTTTAATCTCACATTATTTTCACTAAAGTTTTACAGTAAAACATCTAAAATGATCAAACGACTAAAAACAGAAAAATAATCATTTTCCTGCTGCAGCTGAGAAACATTTTAATGATTAAATAGACATGAATACATGACCAGAGGATCTGACCCTGGAGGAAACCAACAAACAACTAGAGTGGAAATATTTCCCACCTGTATCAGCCTGGTTTCAGCCAGCTGACTGGCAGTCCTCAGCAGCAGCAGATTAAACCTAATCCTGATTCTAAGCTTCCTGCTGTTATTAATATTGATTTACATCACAGAACTGATAAAAAGTTGATAAATATTTTCTTCAAGATTCTTAAATATTTTATTTAACTTTTTCAAACTTGTTTTCCTTCTTTATTTAAAAAGTGAAAACTAGAAGCTGAAGCTGATCAGGCTGCATCATATCAGAAATATGTCAATATTCTGATAACAGTGATTGATGTCGTCATGGCGATATTGATTCACAAACATCTGAGGTTTAGAATGTGGAGACGACGTCTCATCAATAAATTCTGCTGCTTCATTTTCCTTTTCCAATAATCACATGAAATATGATTAATAAAGTTCAGAAAGTTTGGAAATCTGATTTCTGGAGAAAAATGTTTCCAGAAATGGAATAAAAAAAAAAAACAATCCTAAAGGAATAGAAACATTAAATCAGGTGATCTGGTGAATTTAAAGTCTGTTATTTACAACATTATTATGATTTTTAGGTCTTTTAAATAATAAAAAGGTTAAAAACAATCTAGAAAAACAAACATTTTAGCAGAATCAGTTTCTGTTTTTCATACAAGAAAACATAAAACGTCCATCAGAGGCAGATGACTGTCAACCAGCCAAACAGGAGCTGCTTTCAGGAGGAAGATGCAGAACCGGATCAGAACCGGGTCATCCTCTGTCAAACTTTTATTCATGAGAAATTAATGAAAATGTTTGCAGGATGTTGATTTTGTGTCTAATAAACATAAATAATGATGCATGATGTTATTTTCTGAAATGTTTTCTCTGCTTTATTCTGAACAGAAATAATTATTCATATCTAATTATGGAACCTGAGTTCACTAAATCTCTGATTATTGATCCTGAATGTATCATTTCTAACTTGTTCCGGTTCGATTGGACCCGGACCGGAGGATAACTCACCTGTCGTGGGTCGGTTCACTCGGTCCTCATGTTTTCCTCCAGCAGCAAAACAAGTAAACAAACAATCCTGGTTCTGGTTCCGGTTGGGTTCGGGCCTGTCGGTACCGGGACGGCCAGGCGGGGGGTCCGGCTCAGAATAAAACTTTATTCCCACTCCAACCGGATCTAACGGAGGATCCCGGCCGACTTTTCCCAGGTGACGTCACCGTCCGGTTCTGGAGGCCGTCAGAGGGACCGGAAGACGGAGGGCCGGGCTGAGGGAAAGTTAGGCCCGGACCTGGAGCCAGGCAGGCCGGGCGGCGAATCACGGCGGGTCCCGGGACAGAAGCGGCTGGAAGTCGGTGATCCGTCAGCGGGTCCGGCCGGGGTCCGAGGGTCCGGTCCGGTCCGACCGGGAGGGGGGCGAGTCAAGGAGAACCGGGCCCGAACAGAGGAGAAGGAGAAGCAGAGGGGAGAGAGGCTGAGAGGCTGGCCGGTGGCCTGGCCGCGCGGCGGTGAGTGCGTGAGGAGAGAGCAGGCGCGTCCCCGAGCGGAGAGCCGGGCCGCTCCGCCCCGCGACAGGCTCCGCTCCGCCCCGCTCCTCTCGGCTTCAGACCCGCTCCGCCCCGCTACAGGCTCCGCTCCTCCCGGTTCCTCCTCCGGAGGGCTAACTCTCAGACCTGCTGCACTGACAGAGGTCTCACTCTGATGAAGATTCCTCCCCACCAGACTCGCACCACCATGTGATCTGGTAGATCTGGTAGAGCTCTACAGAACCAGAGTAACAAGGCTGAAGCTAGGGATTTTGTTTTAAGGCATGCAAAAAGCACTTAGAATATTTTTTGACACCATCTCATTCTTTGTGGAAATATTTTGCATCTTTTACATGAAAATATCTTGGATGAAGTGCTGAAGATAGCATTTTTAAGCTACCTTTATATGAAAATACTTAATTATTTAGCGGATGCCTTTTTCTTCTCTTGCTCCCTAATCTTTCTACTCTCCTTTGCAGAGGTGCTTTATGTATTTTCCCCTCTTCTTACCTCCTGTTCTTTTTTCTCATCTAGAGAAACAACAGCGCCCCCTATGGACTCAGGTACCGTCTGAGGATGAGGCACCATGTTTTTGTTCTTTGGTGGCTGTGCTGACAAGTCACTTCCCCCCGGGGATTAAAAAAGTATATTCATTCATTCATTAATAGGATGACGAAAACTGATGGAGTGGGGCATCTGTCAGGCAGAGAACATCAAGATGGCCGCCGCCCGGTGTGTGACATCAGGGTGGGGTTGGGCGGTTCTCAGGTGGTACAGAGGAACTGGACCAGAACCAGAACCAGGACCAGGACCAGGACCTGTTCCAGGCTGCTCTCCTCTAGGAGACATGAAGCTCCAGGTGAACCAGAACCAGCTGAACAGAACCTGGTAAACAGAACCAGCTGAACAGAACCAGCTGAGCAGAACCTGGTAAACAGAACCAGCTGAACAGAACCAGCTGAACAGAACCAGCTGAACAGAACCTGGTCTAAACCCGGATCAAAGCTCCAGAGAGTCAGTCACATGATCTGCCTCTTTGTTTCCATCAGGACAGCAGCACAGAGACGGTTCTGTGTGTGGAAAACAAGGGAGGGAGGGGTCAGGAAACACCTGGAAGTCAGGAAACACACACACACAAACACACACACACACACACACACACACACACACAGCTGTAAAACAAATAAAACGTATGTTCATTTTAAAGGCTGTTGCTCCTGACCTTTGACCTCTGTGTGAGCTCCCTCTGGGCTGCGTGCTGATTGGTCCTCGCAGCTCCTTGGGGCGGGGTCTGGGTTCCTGATGAAGTTTGTTTGAAACTCCCTCAGTTCACGGGGCTGCAGCTCCCCCTGCTGGTCAAGAACGCATTACTGCGCTGACATTATTAATCTGGATTTTATTTCTGTAAACCTCTGGATGTGATGATGTGAGGGGAATTTCAATGATCTTTCATCAGATTGACCTTTGACCTGTGGTCCAAATGGATTTTATCCATTCAAAAATCATTTAAGAGGTTTACATTTAGGAGAAAATATGTTGCTGCTTTTCTGTGACAAACTTTAGAGGAGGATTTTATGAAGTGATTTATTTTCCATTTTGTTTGAAGAAAATTAAAAGCTGCTGCTAAGTTTTTGATGCTTCCTGGATCGGATGTTTCTACCTGTTATATATCTATACCAACACCAGAGAGAGGAAACTACTTCATCTGGTTCTGGGCTCCTACCATCAACCCTTCACTCGCCACCAGGATTTAACTCTCTTTCACCAGTAGGTGGCGCCTCTGAGCCATAAATAAAACTAAAGATATTCTCCAACCAGATGCTGACTGACCTTAGAGCTGAAGGAAACAGTCTCATGTCTGCTGAAGCGTTTTTCACAGGTGAAAACAGAATAATGACATTTTAACAGAGTTTGGTTTGAAGGTTCTGGAGGATTGTTCATGAGAAGAACAACTCTGGACTTTCTATCCATAAATATGCAAATCTTTCCTCATTTAGGTTTGCTGGGTTACCACAGTTATTTCTCTTTGTTCAGAATAATGAGACTTTCTTCAGATTCAGGACTTTACATTCATGAAATTTACATTCTCTGAAACAGTTTTAAAAGCAAAGACGGAGATCTCAAACATTTTAATTTTCATGGAAATTAAAAGAAAATCAGGAAGATTTCCTCCACCAGTCTGATTCATCCCAGGGTCTAATTTCAAGATGTCTGAAGGTTCCTGGTTGATTTTCAGCCATGAACAGGATGGGGACGCCCAGGAAGGAGGTTCTGGGTCCCAGACAGGAACAGGTTCTGGTGTGAAACCAAAGCTAAAGAGCTTGTGGAGATGCTGATGAAGCTGGCAGGAGAGTCATCATTCATGGGAAACCAGTCATGTACCCACAGGGAAGAAGGGCCACTCAGAGAAGAAGAAGCCATTGGTGCAAAATCATCTAAGACCCCAGATTAGAGCCTGCAAACCAACTCCGGTACAAAAACCTGAGATTCTGGAGGAATCCCGTCCCAACTGCATGTTTTGGGTTTGCTTTAGTTCAGGAGGAACTGGTGCACTTCACAAAATAGATGGCATCATGAGAAAACAAGGTTATGCAGAAATATTAAAGCAACATTGCAACACATCAGTGAGGAAGTTGAATCTTGGACAGACGGTTGTCCAGATGGACAATGTCCCCCAGCAGATTAGTTAGGAAGTGATTTAAGGACAACAAAGTGACAGTGAGCATCACAAAGATCTCACTTCTACTGAGAATGTGGAGCCAAAACGATGTGGGCTAATTAGCTTAGCAGGCCAAGTATTTAGTAAACACTTAGCTTAAAGCTAAATATTTCAAAGCTGTGTTTTGTAAATCTCTTGATAAACTGCTGCTTCAGTCAAATATTTATCATCATTTCTTTCCCTCTTCTTGTTCAACATCTCAGCTTTAAACACAGGATGAGCCGTTAAAGGCAATCCAGACGTTTTCCAGTGGCTACAGCAGCAGCGATGGATCAGAACCGAAGGATTCTCACCAGCAGAAGTTTAAATGTGTTGATCCTGCGCTGTGTCCTGTAACAACAGCTGGTCTGAAGCCTCTGCATTCAAATAGCAGAAAATAGTAGAACAGGCTTTTTCTCATCACATATTGGAACCAACTTTTACTTTGGTAGCCCACTTCCGCAAATCGGCTAGTGAATTTACGGATTAGCTCAATATTTAGCGGTGAGCTAGCTACATACTTCGCTTTAAAATGAACATTTAGCCCAGAGCTAATCAGAACTAAATGTTTACCAACGAAGTATGTAGCTCAGAGGTAAATAGTTAGCTTGTTTTCTTAGGAGCTAACTTGGGAGCTAATAGCTTCTAAGCTTGATAATTAAATATTTAGTTTGAAACATTTGCAAAGTAATGAATAACATGGTGAAAATACGACTTTGGAAAGTGAATCTTTATATTTTTCCTCCTCTGACAGGCTGAATAACCCAAATAACTCTTCTTAGTTTGGATTTAACTTTACAATATGACACCCATACAATGGTGTCTACAAACCTGACCCAGTTCAGCTGGTTCTGTTGGGAGGAATGGGCCAGAACTCCAGAAACCCAATACAGTCAGGCAGTTTACGAGGCAGCCCTACAAATACTGAGGAAATGGATAAACGCTGAATGTAGAACTCAACTGAATAGTTGTTTTTTTAATCTCCCAAAAATGTAACATTTAGTAAATAAAATTAATATAACAGAGATAAAACAGGAAAAGTGTGATTTAATGTCTGGCGTTGAGGAATGACTGTATATAGATTTATATACAACTGGTTCAAGATGTAAATGGAGCTAAATGTGTCTGAAGTGAGCTGAATGTAAACCATTAACATTTTAAATCAGTTCCTCAGTTGATGTTTTCAATAACAATAATTATAATTAGACATTAAATTAACATTAAACAGCAGGATACAAACAGACAGTGACAGAGTTTGTGGAAGTGAATGATTTATATAAAAATCCACATAAACACTGAGCAGAAGGGACGACACGTCCAGCTGGACCTTCATTTTAAGCTTCCTGTTTACATGGCCGTACGATATCCCAACACATTCTAAAAATAATAAAGACAGTTAAATAATGAGCAGGACATGAACCTCACGTTCAGATCCCACCCAAAAGTGTTTCAGTGCTTCACTCTGACGGCTTCATGGTTGGACGATAAACAAGGTTTAAAAATCACCAGGAGGAAACTGCTGCAGGGTTATTTCCCTGTAAACAGGTTACTGGGTGGCACAGGGAGCAGCGGTGCTTCAAGGTCAATGGAAACTATGAAAACCCAGGAAAAGAAGGTTTCCTGTTCCTGTTCAGTCCAGTCAGGCCTGAAGAGGGCGCTGTAGACCTGGAGAGGATCCTGTACAACATGTTTTTACCTGAACAGCAACAATATGGAGGAAACCATGAAGGAGAACATGTGACTCCTTCAGAAGACAACAGAACTCCTTCCTACTTCCTCTGGAATATAATCTGATCTCAACTAGAACTCAGATTAAACCCAAGATTACAAACCAGTTCTAATGACAAAGTTAAAAACTGGACAAAGAAAAAGGAAAAGTGACAGAGATAAATCTGTGGTGGTGTGACTCAAAGACCATCATCTGCAGCAGTTTCTCCTGACAGTTTTCTGGACAGATACTGAGCACATTTCAGTCAAAAGACGCATCCAAAAAGTTTCTCAGTCATTTGATTCCTCTGGTCTGTAGCAGGACATTGTGTTCTTAACTGACTCTGCTCTGCCTCCCTTGGATTTAAGGGTCTACCTTTGATCGACCCGCCCTTTCCAGTGGATCTTACGGAGCCACTTCTAAAAGACAGCCGTTTACTCAAGCGTAGCCGAGTGTGCTCAACGTCTTCCTTGAATTTCTTGGTGGAGTAGTAGTACAGCAGCGGGTTGACCACGCTGTTGGACGCCGCCAGGCACAGCGTTATGGCCACGGCTCTCTGCAGCAGGTTGGTGACGCCGCAGTTCCAGTGGCCGTTGATGGCGTGAAGGTGCAGGGTCCGGATCACGTGGTAGGGCAGGAAGCAGAGCAGGAAGGTCGCTATCACCATGACGAGCAGGTGCACTGAGCGCTTGTTTTTCTTCCTTAACTTCATGCGCGTTTCCGGGTCCTGAGAACATTGTGGGTGTCTCAGACAGTGGATGATCTTGCTGCAACACAGGATGATGGTGAAGAACGGCAGCACAAATCCAAAAATCAACGCCACGTAGTTCATGCTGAGAATACGGGACCAAGACTTTGGAGTACCCGGCTCAAAGCAGCGAGGTATTCCATCTCTGGAAGAGTCAGAACAGAAACTTCAGCATCCAGGGATCATCTGCTTGATCCCAGGCACAAAGACGTGTCACTGGTTTGCTGACTCTTACCTGTCTTTAACGCCGCTGCCTAGGAAGGGCACAGAGGACACGCCCACAAACAGCCAGATTCCCAGACACATCAGTAAGGTTGACCTGAAGCTTTTCGTGTACTTATGACGCAGTGGATAGACGATGGAAAACCAGCGGAGGAGGCTGAGCAGCGTGAGGAGCAGGATGCTGACAGGCAGAGAGAGCAGGGATGGAGCTGAAATGTTCCCCAAACCAAAGGGAAACCTATCGCATGAGGACGACTCCTGTCCTACCTGGAGTAGAGGTTGACGTAGAAGCCGTAGACACAGAGTCTGCAGAGCCAGTCAGGAAAGGACCAGTGGCCCTTGTTCATGTAGTACGCCAGGCGCAGAGGCAGGGTGAGGGAGAAGCTGCCGTCAGACAGGGCGAGGTTCACCATGATCACATAGGCGGGCTTGTTCCTGTGGACGGAGGACAAGGATCAGTCTGGAGACATTCACAGCCTGACCTCTTCCTGTTGGACACTGGGACAGAGGATGACACAGGGGACAACACAGGGGACAGATGACGACACAGGGGACAGAGGACGACACAGGGGACAACACAGGGGACAGATGACGACACAGGGGACAACAGAGGGGACAGAGGACGACACAGGGGACGACACAGAGGACAGAGGACGACACGGGATAGAGGACGACACAGGGGACAACAGAGGGGACAGAGGACGACACAGGGGACAACACAGGACAGAGGACGACACAGAGGACAACACAGGACAGAGGACGACACAGAGGACAACACAGAGGGCAGAGGACGACACAGAGGGCAGAGGACGACACAGAGGACAACACAGAGGGCAGAGGACGACACAGAG